AGTATGCCTAAGTACCACAGGGTGCAGTTATCCACTGAGCCAACATAAATGCCAGATATTTTTCTCTTGCCTTCTCGTATACTGATACACCACACATCACCCGGGCTAGCATGATTGACAGAGATTCTAGTCCTAGGTGTCTATAAATTTCACTCCATAGAAAGTGGATTTTTTCTGCAGTTTTTACCTCTCCACATGAGCAATCACATGGACTTCATTCAGTATTTCCTAGGATTTATTGCGTGGAAATATGAGCATTGATCTACATCCAAGCATTTTGCATTTACTGCAACCAATTGGTTTACAACATTGCAAGTTAGATCCTGTAGGTTAAGATTTATATTTATTCAGCTGTTTATTATCTGGGACACAAACCATTTCAATCTACAGCAAGAATAAATAATAATAATAACAATAATCCTTGGATTTGGTATAGCGCCTAAAAAGTCATGAACATCTCAAAGCGCTTAACTCTATTTCGGTAAAGTGTACAATTGTGTATTTGTAGGTAAATGTAACAAGCAATTTGCACACTGATGTCTCACAAAAAAACATTGAGTCAATGACCAAATGCAGAAGATGTGGATTTATTAGTTTTAACCAATGTGGAAATTTGTTTCCTTGTTTTTTTGGGGGGTGAGGAAAAGCCACCACTGGGGTGGTGAAATGTCTGGTGCATTCATGTCTTTGCATTCCTTAATGCGGAGTTAGATCACTGTGGAATCAATTGCTATGGTTGTGTATCATCTATAATGGAGCTCAGAATTATAAAATCCTCTGACTCACTCAGAAATTTATTGGTATCTTGCGTGTGCTTCTGCACAGAGATCCTGCTGTTAACAATGTGACTAATTGCTATTATAAGCTTTAAACTCATTTTTTTGGAAACTATTTAGGTCTGCAGTAAAAGCTTTTGTCAAATCTCAGTTTAATTTTAAGGCAGTAATTGATTTTTGTTTACAGATCAGTGACTGGGGCAAGCCATCTAATGGTAACACAAACAAGAAGAAATGTATATAGCTGTGAGATTTTACTACGCCAGTACTTTTTAATGAACAACTCAACCTCACAACTGCCAAAACAATCACTGCATGATACAGTATGTGTATGCTCAGTCTGCATCTGGGTAATGTAAAAGATATTTTTCATGCAGTCTTTGAACCTTTTATTTTGCTGCGTTGACAGTGTTGATGTCACACCTGATGTAGAGCAAGGGACTAGTGCCTGCTATATCTAGGTAGCAGAGGGTACAGAGGTTCAGTGCAGAAAGTAACTAACAGAAGCTAAAAGATCGAAGTGGACAGTACTCTAAGCTATAGGCCTGCTACAATACAGTGAATTACTTGGACATAACAAAGGAGTGATGCCTGTGGAGGCTAACACGCCTCAGTAACCCTTTAAGTGCACCATTGGGACAGTCTATCATTATTATTGCAATACCAGGAGCAGTAAAGTCCACCTCAGTTCTCAAAACTTCTCCCACTGGAGCCTTCTTCACACAGGTTGTTTCAATCAGAGTTTGTGGTACATTGTGCTCAGGTGTGGGGTGCTCCTCAGTTCCACTGGCTATGCCTTGTTCTGTGAAGAGAGCAGACCTTGCATTAGGAGAGAATGTGCATTCTTATAGTGCTTCATCATGTTAAAAAGTATCTTGGTCCTTCACAAGTAATTATTGATAAGTGCCCTAACTGCTTTGTAGGCAAATATGCCAGCCACTTTGCTCCTATTGAGGTCCCACAAGCAGCTATGATATGTATTTCACAAACCACAACATTCTGGATAGTTTAATTGTATGGAAGTTGGTTATAATAATCTGTGTATTTTATACAGCACCTTACCATGCTGTTGAAACATCTCAAAATGCTTCACATGATTTCACTGTAAAGTGTAGTCACTGTACATTTTTAAGCTGTAACCAATTTGCTCACAGCAATGTCCCATGAACAGCCATGATGTGAATGACCAATTTTTAGGGGGATTGTTGGCCAAGACACCAATAAATATCCGAATAGTGCCATGGGATATTTACGTCCCCTTGAACAGGTAGACAAGGCCTTAGTTTAATGGCTCATCTGATAGTGTAGCGCACCCCCAGCCCCAATGTTTTTTTTAAGCGCTCTGGGACACTACCCCGCATGAAGGGCACTGTATAAATGCATGTTGTTGTTGTTCTTGTCGATGTGGGGCTTGAGCCAACAATCTTCTGACTCAGAGGCTGACACCTCATTTTTATTTCCTTAGCTGCCTCTAAACCATGAGATACTCACTATTGAAGGTGTGTCATTTTTCGCTGCTGCATTTTCATTACCTTGTAATGAAAACTAATGAAAGAAAACTCAATTTGCACTCTCGCTGCATTGTAACATTGGGCGCTCACTCAATTTTGTTAACAGTTGGTTAATATCATTCGAAAATGCTTTTCTATCAATTTAACAAGTGAACAATCTTCATTTAAAAAGCAAGTAAAAAATAACAACACAATGCAATTGTAACAATTATGTTTTTATCTGGAGTTTTAGCCCACTGAAGTCTGCTAAATAATCTGTTGAATGGATTCAATTGATTGATCTCTAAACATTGGGTGATCGGTAGTTTGGAAAGAGTTGTTTCCTACTTAAAGCCAACGGATGACATCTGTTCCACAGTAAATTGCCATTTTGATGGAATAACAAGATCTTGAATCCAAATTGGCTCCAAGTATGATTTTTTTTAATTAAATTTTTATATCAGGTGTAAATAATATTGCTGGCTTCCCTTTGCTTGTCAAACACTAGTAAATACAAACATGCACACACACACCAAAGTAGCTAGAAAGAGACATAGAAATGAATTGAAACAATTACCAAAAAAGCATATTTCAAGACATACATAGACAGAAAAAAAAATCTTGCAACAAATATTCGATTAAACTATACAAAAGTATCATTATCTCAAGGTCTATTTCTCTTGCTGTATATGTTGTGAGTTAAGAGATAAAATACATTTGTGAAGTTCTGACATAACTGTGGATTTGTTGTCTTTTCCTCGGGCTATAACCCTTTCCTAAAGCTTGAGAATTTCCATTATTGTAATGCTATGACCAGAGTTTTTACTTTTGACCTTTAATGTCAGTGACAAAAGACAATCTTTCCTTTTGCAATTTGACCTGTAAATATTTACCTCCCTCGACAACAACTTAGTCGTAAATAGGATGGAGTATGTTGTAGACATTAGAATAGTCTTTGGGGCTAATTTGTATTCTCTTGTCTCCATATCGAATAGGTTTCCCCTATTTCAAAGCGCCCATTCAATCCGTAGACTGAATAAGCAGTGAAACAGCAACATCTACAAAGTATATTGAGCACTGTTCTCCTGTTTGTCACACTTAGAATGATTGCACTTGTTCTATGTCTTGACTGCTCTCTCGTAGCACTTTATAATTCTTGAGTGATTTTTCTTTTGTGTACTGAATTTTCCCTGGATCAAAAGATCTTAATCATTTGATAGTTTCTGTTTGCTTCTTGGTACATTCTGGCAGGCATGTGAGAGAGAAGCACCACCAACTAAGTGTTGAAGCAAGATGTAGAGAAATGTTGGATCATTATCTGTGGCCACTGAGACCTTGCACGGGCACCTTTGAAGACAAATTAAAAGTCCACTCTAATTTCATTTCTATTTTGGTATGTATCATGAACAGTATTTACACATGGAGGAAAACATGTGTTTCTATAACCTGGTGCCGACAGGAACATTATGAATGGCTCTCCAGCTCGTGATTTCAGGGAATGATTGAAAACCAAATGAGTGTTCCTGAACTTTTAGTCTTTCATCATCTCTGATAGATAACTGTCACACACTCTGTCAGATCACCTACAGCACTGAACAATGTGTTGTATGCACTGAAGTGTTGTGACCAACGTTACATTCCGACTGCAGGTATTTCTTTCAGCTTAGGCTCTGGATACGGAAACTATTGCAAACGTCAATGTTATTTGTTCAACGCTCTTAGATCTGCTCTGCATTTCTTTGCGCCGATCTGCTCATTGCAGGCAGTCAGACAGCAGCAAGTGGTCTGTTTTATTTTTTTTCTGTTGCACCTTCTCCTCTGCCCTCCCTGCATTTGCCTGGAGCTTGGCTTTAAACGAAGGCAGCTGACTGGAGGAGAAAGCTCTTTCCAGCTCCCAGCTCTTCGTACGAGGCAGCAGGAGTTTGCAGTAACTCATCACACTGAAGTGTGCCCACATGCATTCGTGTTCATTGCAAAGCATACTTCCTGGAGCTCAGGCTCTTTTCTGCTGAAGTGAGCAATTGCAATGAAAGGCTTCTGCCCGAGCAGAGCATCTTTCAGGCAATAATGTAACCAGGGTTTCCAAAGGTAAGCGCCAGCAAACTCTTTTTAAAAAAAAAACACACAAAAAAAAACCACACACCTGTTAACAACAGCAACAACAACAAAAAAAAAGGAACTGACAAAAAGTTTCAGTTGCATTTACCTTTCAAAACTCTGACCAGGCTTCGTTGGGTGGAGAGAAAGTAGTGACAAGTGAATGCTTCAGCGGGACCCGCAAAAGAAAAAAAAACCTTTGCAAAGGTGCGGTGCAATGTCGAGCTGACAGTCACCAGCGAACGAAGGCGTGAAGAAGGCTTTCCCTGTCGTGTGTGTGTGTGGCTTCTGCTGCTGCTGCTGCTGCTCACTTTTCCTCGGCTGCACGAAGTCTGATTTTTGTGCGGCATCCGATGCGAATCCGCATCCGCAGTTACTAAAGGCGACTTAAACTGTCCGCAATAACGCCACCGGCAGCACCGGCACAGGGAGCTGTGAAGCCCCCAGAGGTCCAGCCCGCAGTCTGTCTGGGGGGAGTTGTACTGAATGACCTCCTGGGAGGAGGGGGAGGAGGGTGGGGGGGGAGTGGGGGGGTCTCTGTGGGTGATCCTTGTGCTCGTTGATGCAGAGCTGCCTCTCTGTGCAGCAGAGATAACGAGTGAGTTGGATAATCCCGAGAGTTAATCCGACTGCCACTCCTGGCCCGCGCTGGGATGTGCAGGATGTGCTCACTCTCTGAACCGCGGCCCCTACACCTAACGTAGTTGGATGGCCTCACCGACAGCCCGACTGGAACAACCCACAGGAGGCACCTTTCTCTGCCGCACCTAAGAGAGAGAGAGAGGGAGAGGCGATGACCTGAGCGCCATGAACTTGGAAGGGCTTGAAATGATAGCAGTCTTGGTGGTGATTGTACTGTTTGTTAAAGTGTTGGAGCAGTTCGGTCTGCTGGAAGCAACTGTTGAAGGTAAGGGACCGCCCGCCTTGGATGTGGTGTGCAGGGTTTTTGTGTTAACAGAGAGGGGGTTTGCAGCAAACTTTAAAGTGAAAGTGGTCCAAGGGATTTTCCTCCTCTGGTTTTCCTCCACTTGATGTTGAGCTCCCAAGTTTTGTGATGGAGTTCAACGCACAAGAATAATTAACAGTGATGAACTTTGCTGCCTTTGTATTTTTTCGGATGTGGCACTCGCTTTCTCCAACTATGCCTGTAACAAGGAGAAAATCAATGCTTCTTTTGAAGCACAGTTCAGCTCTGTTCAAGCTGTCAGTCAGTGGCTGTAAAGGAAAATAGCTTTGACTCCGTCTGTGTCTCACCTGCTAACTGTGTGTGTTTGCAATGCAAACCTCAAGTATTGACCTGACAAAGATGCATTTCTGTCATGCCGGCGAAAAGATTTTGTTCTAAATAATGGGATTGACCAAACCGTTTCCCAAAGCGAGTGCTTTTGAACTATCTGTCTGAAAATAATGGGTCTCATAAGTTCTGCATTGTGTCTCAATATCTATCATTGCAACTGAATAAGTATAATTTAAAGTTAAGGATTTAAAGGGTTGACCAGACAATTGGTTGACTGAAACATTATTATGCCCCAAAATGTGTCTGGTTGACAAGAACATGAGACATTTTATTAGTATTCTTGCTATCACGGAACTTCATTATTTTAGAAATCCTATTCTGGCGCTATGTGTTGTGGTTGGCATTATTAGTGTGTCAGACACTTTGTACTGATGTATAAACTGTATTTCAACGCATAGAAGTTTCAATCCCACTGGAAGTGCATTTTGATTAAACCTACATGTAGCCTGAAGGGGTTAAAAAGTGAATGACTGCAGCCTGTTAATGAGACACAGTAAAGTAGATGAGCTGTCTGAGTTTCGCCAACACATATATTAATATTAAATGCACAATTAAATGTATATTATTTATTGTCTTGTGAAGTAGTAATGTTACTCACTGTAGCTTCCTTGTAGCACTTAAAAAATACTTGAACCAAATGGAAAGAAAACAATGTCCCGGCAGCATAAATAAACAAATCTAATATTAAATATCAAATCCTTATAAAATATTTGCAAACTGTATTGCGCCAAATGAACCTCTAATACATTGACGTATTTAATCTTTGCAATATAACTCATTAGACACCCACTGTGTGTAATTGATCTAAGAGATGCTTTAAGTCCCAAATCAGCCACAAGGAAAAGCTTCATCTCTACTGATTTTTTTGGTGTTGGGAGATTGTTTACATTTTAGCTGCACATGCTACCTCACTTGCTGTTTGGCATTGCTGTTTATAACTGCGAAATTGGAAACTCCTGCTATTACCTGGTGGTGGCCATGCCATCCAGTGCTCATTGGTAGGTGAATAGGATCGAAACCTGTATGAGCCAAAATCTCTGTAGCAGATTCAGCAGGTGCCAATGCTGGTTTGAAAATTCATAATCTCCACGCAATATTCTGCTAAGAGTCTGTAACCATCATGTGTTGCTGTGTTACTCAGAATGTGAAATGAGACAAAGCTGATAGACTGAAGGACAAAATTAGGACATCACAACAGGGTAATCTGCCCCCACCCTTTGGAATTTCACTCCATAGTCACTTCTCCTCGCTCCCTCCATTACCTCCTTAGGGCATGTCTCAAGACCCTACTTTTCAACGCGCCTTCGGCCACCCTCCTACCCTCCCTGCCCTCCACCCTCCCCGATCCCAATCCCCACAGCGCAGATCCAAAAACTGGACTATCCAACGCTTTGGGGAGGCCTCCCAAAGTGAAAGACACTATAGAAATGTAATTTTATATTGTATTGTATTTTACCCATTCAATTGAAAATAATATATGACAAACCTCTAAATTTAACAAGAAAAATTGAACATTGACAGATGCTGAAGAAAACCCCTTTGACAATACGTTGGAGCTTAAGAGATATGAGATCTTAAATCTTTAATACAGAATTCATAAGCGCTTACTTATAAACTAATGCAATTTCATTTCCATTTCTAAGGGTTGTTGGTATGTTTCTCACGTAATTCTGTCATCGGTTTGTTGCTCTAGACAGCTGTGCGGCTATAGCTCACAATCTAAATTCTATCAGTAAATCTTTCCAGAAACAAAATATTTCCATGATCATGTTAAAGCAAATTTGCGGTTTTAAGATCCATCAATTTTACTTTACCCGCTATCATCTGCTGCCTATTTCTTTCTGCCATTAGGAAGTAATTGCAAACTTACAAGGGAGAAATATTTTACTGTGCAGTGCAGTCCCAATCTGTTTGATTTGTTTTAAATGTTTTGAGGCTACCCAGCAGGACACTGCATCAATTACAATCTTTTCTTCACATGTCTATAGTATAGGGAGACCAAAAAGTCATGATACCATTACAATGTCTAATAAGTCTTAAAGAAATAATGACACTTTTGTTTGTTTTTCGATAATAGGGTAGATATCACAACTTTTTTGCTCACCCGGTATTTATGTGCCAGTTGCTAGAGCAAATATAATAATCATATAGCATATACTTTGCAGTGAAATATATCAGTGTAGGTTTGCAGAGAATTAGTTTCAATGAATAACATTAGCACCTTTTAATAATGAATGCAACTAGCAGCTTGGGGAAAAAATCTACTTCCCCATACGTGTACTTCTCATTAATATTAATCTCTTATTGAATATCTCTGTTTTTGAAAAGAAAATCATTTTTAAATTAAACTGGGCAACCATTCATTATTGCAGTCATCTTGTGAAAGGTGAAAAATGTTAATCATGTTTAGGAATAGAGTAGAGACATGAAGCCGGAGTACACATCATTATTCAGCTTCAGACAGAGGACAGAAGTAACAAGCCAGCATTTTATGTAAATCATTAATTTGTTCGGTATGAATGAAACTTACTTTTCCCTTAAAGGTGCCATCTCTTCGTCAAAAGTGTTTGGGAAAAATCTTTTGTTCATTTACTTACAAACGCACAATCTGATACCACAAGTGATATCAAAGCAACTCATTGTATTATTGCACATTATAAACAGTTGCTCTCAGTTGCCAAATAGAAAATATGAGACTCGCAATTTCACCTTTAAGATGATTTAGTCTCAAAGCTTAAGAAAATGTAGGAACAATTTAGTCTTTTATAAAAGCCAGTTTTCCACAGTTCTAAAAAAGGCAATTGTAGACTGAATTTAAAAGTTTCCTAGAATTCTGCACTAGTGTTAATTTTAAGACAAAATTGCCTTCGACGCTTAGACAAGCTGGAAATTCAGCCCAAAGCTTTGCCAAACCATTTGTTCTCCGTAAATACATCACTCCTATAACTACAGGTACAATAGTCCTTTCCGATCTCATGACAGAACGGCATAGCCTGCTTCTGCTCGGCTGGGTTCGGCCTCCTGTTTCTCCCTCGTCCCCTCTGCTCCACCATCAGTAGCCTTCAGCTACTACACCCCGAAACTCTGGAACTCTCTCCCTTTCAAATACTGCCTAACAACCTTCCTATTTTATCGTGTTTACGGTCAGCTCCCCGACTCCCTCTCCCCTTGGCTTGGTGTCAGACTCCGCCACTGTCAAATGCTCCGGGACGTTATATAAATGCAAGTTGTTCTGTGCTGTAAATTTTTATGATTCTACGGTAACTGCTATTAAAATTTTAATTGTTGTTGTTATTTTTTCTCCTACTGGGCTGCAGTTCCAAGGCTGCTGGATGTCCTTAAATAACTTCTCTAAGTGGCTTTTATTCAGGTGTGAACCTTGAAAGTGAGCATTGGCAAGCTATTAGCTGTAAAATCACAGCCAATTTCAACGCGGTCCTCACCTACTGTTCACACACACCTTCCAGCAGGGGTTCCTGTGTAGTAATCAAGAGTGAGAATTCTGGACTGTGTTTCCCCTCCCTAACCCAGGGGAACATACGTCAATTGAAGTGGCTCCATCATAGTTAGAAAGTTCTCAGAAAAAGAAATTAGAAAAACACAGCACCCATGTGGTCTGTCCGAGTTTGGTGGTTAAAGTTTTAATCCGTTTGCTACCCAGTTTCAAATATTGTTTTATGTATTGAAACTGCGAGAGAGTGCTGACAACTGTCGCAAAGGAGAGGAGGAAATACTGTCCATTTTGCCTTCCTGTCCCAGTGAGGATACTGAAAATCTTTAATGCCACCATAGAGAACACAAGATTCATACTTCTTCGTCTGATACTGGTCCAAAAAATCATTCAAAAGTAAAAATTCAGTTCTAAACAATTCACCTACAACATAAAAATCAAAGCTGGTGGCAAAAGTACTGCCTGAAAGGAGAAAACATTCTCCAAATATTGGGGGTGTTCACTCCCAAACCTGTCATTGGCAAGGACATAAAACATTGGTATTGCTGATTCTATAACAATAATAATTCTTGGATTTGATATAGCGCTCATAACGTCAAAACATCTCAAGGTGTTTCAATTATCTCAGATAATTGCTGTAAAGTGCAGTAACTGTGTAGTTGTAGGCAGATATGACAGCCGATTTGCACACAGTAATGTCCCAAAACCAGCAATGGCCAAGTAATCTGGAGGATTATTATTTTTTGGTGAACACTGTTAGGAATTTCCTTCTCTGGCCAACAAATCCTCAGATAAAATGGGTCATTCATATAGTTGTTTTGCACAAATTGTCTGTTTCTTTTGCCTACAAAATACATTGTCACTACATTTTTCAGTATTTCCCGTGAAGTGCTTTGAGGTGTCTCGACAATGTGATAAGGCACTATATCAAATGCTAGGATTATTATTAAATAGTGCCATGAGATCTTTAACAACCACTTCAACAGGATCTTGGTTTAACATTTCATCTGAAGGCATCCTCCAGCACTGTCCTGGAGTGTCAGCCTTGACTAACCTCAAAGCCTTGACTAACCTCAAAACCCACAACATAAGCTGCATTTTATCCCTATGTTATTCTAGAATCCCTGTGGATCTAGATCAATCTTACTTTTTGAAAACA